TGCATAGACAGCAATACAACTGAAATGTTCCCAAGTTCAGAAACGTAGCAAGGAGATCTGTAAAATAATCCATGTGACATCAGGGGTTCAACTGTAATTTTACGAAGCAACGAAAATACTTTTTGTGCACAAAAGAAAGAAAAAAACGACTTTATTCAACAATTCGTCTCCGCCGCAGCTGACACAGAACAGCATACGTTGTTTACGTCCAGCTGATACTCTCCAAAATGGCGCTACAGGGTGATGCGAAGGAGACGAATTGTTGAATAAAGTCGTTTTTTTTTTCTTTTGTGCACAAAAAGTATTTTCGTAGCTTTGTAAAATTACGGTTGAACCCCTGATGTCACATGGATTATTTTACAGATCTCCTTGCTACGTTTCTGAACTTGGGAACATTTCAGTTGTATTGCTGTCTATGCAGGGTCAGACAGCTCTCAGATTCCATCAAAAATATCTTAATTTGTGTTCCGAAGATGAACGAAGGTCTTACGGGTTTGCAACGACATGAGGGTGAGTAATTAATTACAGAATTTTTGGGTGAACTAACCCTTTCAGTATCACCTCTGCTTATAAGCCACAATCTAATCCTGTTTACACTCAATAAACCTGAGCTTTACAGAGCTGTTGCTATGATAACAACTCTGAGATGAACTTCGAAGAATGGAACAATTCAAAACCTGAGCGTCACATCATCAAGAATTAAATCAAACCAAATGATAAGATTTAACATAACAGCTGAATAATAAGTCAGTGCAAAACCACCAAAACTAAAATGCACAAAGCTGGAAGCACCTGTCTGTGACACATTTTAGAGTCCTCTATAGTTTTCTGCTCGTCAGACTCTTTTAAATGCATATAGCTCCACATAAGTGGCACAGCAGAATCTTTACCGGTTGACACACTGCTATCATTTCATGATATATACTACATTCCCTATGTCTTATCTTTATTTTTATTCAAAAGACCATGAAATTAAAACTCTCCTGTGTGCATCGAATGTGAAGATAATGCTCTCGGAAAAGATAGTTTGCTCTGTCTATTCTGTATGCAGCTGCTGTAATGAACTGTACACTTGTGAAACATCAGTTTGAAGCGTGTTTGTGCATGTGAATGCGTTCATGCGCGTATCTGTGACCTGCTTACTAATGCGTGGGAGCGTATGCTTAACAAGTCAATGCCTAATGGAGTGACTCATTACTAGTGATTTTTATTCCTATGGCTGTTTAGTCAATTCAGAAATATTTAGAGAAAAAAAAAACAGCTTAGAGGTGACCGGAAACAACGTCCGAATATCACCCCGAGCTACCGGCGTACTGTATGACATTGGGAAGTGTGCGACTCACCGTCCATCCGCCCCCATCAGTAGTCATGTCACAGAAGACCTGGAAGCCTTCTGGGTAATGTGTGGGGAACACGGAGTAGATACCATCCTCTCTTTGCCCGCTGGCATAGATGTCACTGCAATCCCTGGGTCTGGAACCTGCCAGAAGATACAACATGTCAGCATCATCAATCTACATTACATGCCAAGCCATAACTGCATCTGTTTTTTCATTTTTTGAAAAACCCTTTCGAGGTACGGCGTAAGACAAGAAAGCTTCAGACCTCAAATCTGTCATCTCCCACCTGCTGTCTAAGCAGTGGCATGTCTCTTTCACACTGCTAGAAAGCTTATGAGGGAATAGGTGTGAAACCATTCTAGGGCTCATTAGGGCTGGTTGGAGACTTGAGAATATGTGGATAATGAGGAGGTTTCTTTTTTTTTACCTTCTCCACTGGTGCAGCCCTTGGGCCGGACGCTGTGCACCGGAGCCCTCTGCAGATCTGCCTTGAGACGGCTCTTGATGTTTCCGGTTTCCTTCTGCATGGAGCTAAGCGCGTCGCTCACAGAGTTCACCACTTTCACCATGTTGATCTGGCTCTCCGACAGCAGCTGGAGAGAGAGAAAGCAGGGGAAAGATTAAAGGACAGAGGATGACACACATGATCCATTTCTTTCACTGAAGCTCTTAAGAGTCACATACTCACATGTTTGAATCAGCCTGACAAATCCTTTAGAGTACTAAAATGTTCGAGCCATATAGTGCAAAGTGAATCAATATATTTGTTTTGATTCACTTTTCAGGTTTGTCTATATACATAAACATATACACACACACACACACACACACACACACACACACACACATGTTGTGTTTCCATGTTTTATGGGGACATTCCATAAGCGTAATGGTTTTTATACTGTACAAACTGTATGTGCTATTGCCCTACACCAACCCTACCCCTAAACCTACCCCTTACAGGAAACTTTGTTCATTTTTACTTTCTCAAAAAAACTCATTCTGTATGATTTATAAGCTTGTTTCCTCATGGGGACCTCAAAAATGTCCTACTAGTCAAATTTACTAGTATTACTATCCTTGTGGGGACATTTGGTCCCCATAACGTGATAAATACCAGGTACACACACACACACACTAAATACTGTATATGTTAATGTTTAAAAAAGTATATTTGTATTATAATTTATAGAACAGAAACTGAAATATATGGAAATAATCATTTTAGTATTGTATATTTATATTTTATTATATTTATAGTTGAATGTTTTAATACTTTTTTTATTAAAATTAAAATCACTCATATTAATTTAAATATTTCCAACATTAAAACGTGCTACCAAAATACTATTTTCAAATATATTGATTTATTTAAAAAAATTCTAATAGAATTCTAATACTATATATTACCATGTTTATTGGTTAAAACTATTCTTTATAAAATATAAATCATTATCATTATTATTACTACAACTATTATTTATAGATTTTTTTTACTTAAAAAAATATTAATTTATACTTTTATACTTACAACATTAAACCTGGATCCCAAAATAGTATTATATTCTTTATAAGACTCTTATGCTCACCAAGGCTGCATTTATTTGATCAAAAATACAGTAAAAACGGCAAGATTATGAAATATTTGTACAATTTCAAAGATCTGTTTTCCATTTGAGTATATTTTGTAATTATAATTTCAAATGTGATTTATTGCAAATGTAATTTATTCAGCAGCCATTACTCCAGTCTTCAGTGTCACATGATCTTTCAGAAATTTGCTGTTCAATAAACATTTCTTATTATCATCAATTTTGCAAAATTTCTTGCTGCTGAAATCTTGTTGCATTATACCTGGTTTCAACATGATTTCTTCAGCATTTCTGTGCAATTATAACAGAGCTTTGGTTGACTCTGGCCTTTCCTAAAAGCCTGGCTTAAACAATAACAACAATGGAGTCTCTGTATCAGCATGTGGTCCCCGGCACTGCATTAAAGTAACAGGTGCACTATGCTGCACAACACTGATAGCGCTTCAGTTTCGCGGGCTCAAGGCCAGTGGGTCTGGAAACCGCTCGGTTTGAGTTTCCCAGACAGCTCTCTTTATTGCCTGCATCAGCAAAGCTGCTCAGGTCACCTCGATGGGGGGAAAAAAAGTTGATTCTGAGTGAGGCAAACTGTGTGCCTATCTCCAAGGACAGGTCTTCATGTCTCACATATCAAACATCATGAATCAACGTGGCATCTGAGTATGAAGATCAGTAGGCGATTAGCAAAAATTAGTCCTAAAGTGAAGCCCGTTTCCTATGACACATGAAAGTTCTCCTTTGGGGTGTGAAGGAGCATCAAGCTCTTTGAGAGTGTGTCATTAACAAGTCTGCATGTGCGCATATGTCGCTGTGACAACACTGCAAGCTAAGTGCGAGTTGGTGTGTGCGTGAACTCGCTTGAAGTTGATGACGGCTGACGCAGTGTGCGGATGGTTGGGATATTATCACTCGCAGCTCTCGACACGCTCATTTGCTCCAACACGCTGCCATAGCAACAATCATTATGTGGCCAGTCCAGCATAAAAAAAAACATCACATGTATGAAAAAAACATAATGTCCCCAAAAGTACAATACACTCCATGCCCTTCCTCTAACTAACCCGTTTGTCCAGTGGCTCGAACCTCTTGGCATTCACTCGACAGGACGCAAGACCTCAGTCACCACTTCTACTCTAAACATTGCCTCCCTTTCATTAAAGCACACAGCAGGAAACTAGCAATTAAAAGATCCAGGCCTTCAAAACTCACCTTGAACTATCAATTTCAATAGCTGTGTTTGGAAATGAACACTACAATTTTTTTAATACTGTACAGAATGTATTTTATACTGCATACATGTATGTTTTAAAAAAGAGTATGTGAAACCATAGGCATTATTCCATGATGAGTGTTTCAGAGACTGTGTACATGCACAAGGATATCCTGATATTAATCAGAATTTGCTCATATTTGTACTGTAAATAGGTTCGCAAACATTCCAGAAATTTTGAAAATTTACGGGATTTTTGGAAGCTTTCAGAAAATGTTGGGAATTTTCGGGAAATTTTGGAAAGTTTCCGGAAATTTTCTGCCCCTTTGCAACCCTAACTGTAAACACAATAATATTCCTGTTTCTCCCAAATTTAAGACATCTGGCATGTAAGCACCTTATTTTGAATGAACAATTATTTGTATTATTTATTTATGTATTTCTATGAATATTTTTGTATTTCTATGAATAATTTATTATTATTATTACTTTGAATATCAATAGTAACAGAACGTTAATTTTTATGTCCAAACAATGTCCAAACAAAGATACATTTGGGTGATTTTAGAAACAGACAGTTGAAAAGTCAAGCTATTGAAGAAATACATTTTTGGAGTGAGGAGCTTTTTTATTATTTATTTATTTGTATGAATTAAAATTAATAAAATTAATGTTCTGTTACTGTGGGTATTCAAAATAATAATACACCAATTATATAATAATAATAATAATAATAATAATAATAATAATAAATTATGTATTATTATTTTGAATACTCACAGTAACAGAAGATTCATTTTATCTGTGCATGTCCAAACAAAGATAATTGTAGGAGATTTTAGATACAGATAGTTAAAAAGTCAAGTTATTGAAGAAAAACTTTTTTGGAACGAGGAGGACATTCAAACATTTCATAAATGTTAAAAGAAAGGTCATCCTGCTCTTTTATTAAATTCATGAATGTTAAAAACATGAATGAGAATTAATGAGTTAGCTAAAGTACTGGTCAAAATTACAGCAAAAGAAACTGCAAAAAGTACATCTTAATTAGGAAGAGAGCATGCATGTTTAAATATATTTCGATTGTGCTGATTACAAGACTCAATTAAATTTTAATCTGAAAATGATATGCATGTAAACAACATTATCACCACATGACCTCATCATCACATTGCATCTGCTAGCATCTCGGAAATAAAAGCTATTTTGCATTTTTTTAAATTCAATTTTGTGTAAAAAAATAAAACAAAAATTCTTACAATTTGGCCATCCAATCAAATAATGAGTCAAGAAAGAGATATATTACTTCTGTATTGTACATCACACTGTAACTGGAAGGTCAAGTCAAGCGCACTGCATTGTGGGATGTCATGTTCAACAGAGCAAACTCTGGTTTATAAGGCAAATGCAGCAGGTCATGCAGGTATTTTATGCGAACAGAAAAATACTGTGCACAGAATACAGTACGTACCTGTACTGCATACTGCAGAAATAGCAAGAGCAGGAAGGCAGTTAGCTGTTACGAACACAGCCAATGTCACAGCATGGTACCGGCCACATTAGCGCCCACTGACTGCACATCTACCCGAGGTCTGTATACGCTCATCGCTCTAAAACCGTGTTAAGAGATGATGGAGGGAAATGAACTAAGGTTAAGAGTCTCATGCCAAAACATTTTAGCAGATAAAGAGACACAGATAGCCCCTCTTTTAAATAAGCGCTGCCTGGCCCATTTGTCATATCCAGGCTGGACCAGGACATCGATGGCATAAACATTATTTAAAAGAAACTTGCTTCCTGTTTGAAGGGCTATCATTAATCACAGACATATTCGAACACGCTTCCTCCACAAGACTATGTATCATCAATAATCTCGCCAACAGAGTATGCGTCCAAGTTTGGAACACAGCTCTCAGTTTTGGGAATGACTGATGATAGATCAAAGGCGAAAGATTAATAAGCACAATCGAACAGGAGGAGACCAAAGGGAAAAACTGTGCCGCTTGCTGACACATCAAAACTATCTTAGTATGCAAATGACTGAAAACACAAGATTCTGCACTCATGTGAACTGAACATTTCCCATAGATTGTGCATTAATTTCCAATTATCTGGTTCTACAATAATAGCTTTCAGATAATGGCACTGTTAAGTTATTTCATGGCAACACCAACATTTACTAATAAATTATAATATGAAGTTGCACTAAAAAGTAATTGGACACTTTTGAACATGTAAGTCACACTTAAAATGTTTGAATGTCATTGCATTAGAAACAAATAAGTGATATCCGAATAATTAAATTCAGATATAAAAAATAAGTTTTGCCTACTCTTTTATAATTTTAAAACTAACAAACCTGGTTTTATTAAATATCTTGGTTGAAAAGTGTTTTTGGGTTATATTTCTTTAAAAATAAATGCAACTTGGTTAAATGCAAGACATTTTTAAGTGCGAGTTTAGTGTTCAAATACTATGATACTCTTATAAATAGTCTTATATATTGCATTTCATAATCCAGATTATAATTAGATTATTTAATTATGTTTATAATTAAAGGTCACACAGAAAAGAAAAGTCTGTCTTCCAATACATAAATAAATAAATAAATATTATTATTATTATATATATATATATATATATATATATTTATTTATTTATTTTTTTTTTGATGACAGAAATGTCTTTTCTGGGTGATCTTTAATTATAAATACTACAATTATAATGTAAAATGAGAGACAAAAATGTTGAAAATGATGATGGTGATAAAAATAATAATAATTTTCTGAATAAT